GACGGTAGTACAATATTTTCTTATTTTCGATTAATTTTGAATCAAATCAATAACTTAGTTATTTTATAAAAGCAACAACAACTTTTATTGATTTTGTGACCCATGAATGTCAAAGAATTTGGTAAAAGAGTTTAACTATATAAGTATTATATTTTATATTTATATTTTGTTTTTGTACAATACTCAAATAACATTGATATTTGTGGAGTCGATCAATGACATAATTTTCATAAGCTAATTTTACGTCTGTAATGTTGCTTTGCCATCAACATTCACGTAAATGAGTAACTTCTTGTTTTATCATTGTTTAAGGAAGTTGTGAGATATTGCGAGTTAAAGTTATTTATGTGAACTTACTTAAATCGCTCTCCGCTTATGATTGTCTGTTAATCACGCAACATATTTCGAAACGGTTCTCACTGTTGCTTAGGATTCTTGAAAAACACTTATTATCCGTGCGTGGTCGGGTCGTGTCGTTAGTAAAAGAGTCTACAATAATTCTTAATTCTGCTATTAAATAAGGATGTTTACTAAATAATATGACAATGGAAATAATTCTATAGTTTACCAGTAGGATACATTTTAAAAATTAAATACCCTCCTATAGTATATCTTCCCATCGTAATGTTGGATCAGATAATATGCACTGGGGCGGTCGACATTGATTTGATGATGTTTAGACTGAAGTAGAGAAGTAAGATATTTTACCATCATAGTGAACGAACACGGTCGGTCACTGGAGCGACCAAGAACTTCAAAGAAGATATTATTGGTTACGAGCAAGACTGAATAGCGGCGAGAACTCGATTATCGCAATGTGGTCAAGTTAAAAAGTCGAAATGACTATTTGCCGAACGGTATAACAGTAGACAAATGGACTATTAAATAACAAGATAGTGAAGATTTTAGTGACGATAAATTTCAGTATGACTATTGTCCAATTAAATAGGAGCAGGGCTCTTGGACCGTGAGAATATGCGCGAGGTTCTATTACAGTATCGGATGATGCGATCGTTCTCCAATTTTGATGTATATGCTGCACATCGGTGAGGACGTTCGCGACGAACATTCGCGCAATGGATGTGTATGCGCAGGCGGCTGTGCGGCGCCGCGGCTGGCGCCACTCGACAAGTTATAATTCGGGCGGGCTATTTCTGGCTATTCACACGCGTGCGCGGCGTTCCGTGCGTATAACTTTTTTTTTTCTTTTAATTTTAGGACTGTTTGTTTGTACACTGTTCCCTGGCATGATTAGCATACATATCATTCGGGAACACTACTCTGATTAATTCAGAACATTTTATAAGGAAATATTAGGTACGTTTTCAATTTAAATAGCTATATTAGCTATCGTGCCTGACAGGATATCGGTTGGTTACACAATGTCAAAGGTGGTTCTTGCAAAGGAGATATCGACGGATTCGTATGTGTAAATCGATGAACTATGACTGTCAGTTCCGATAATAATCTACAATCTTTACTTTTTACAAGAATCCGTGTCGGAAATATCTTCAAACAAGTGTAAATGTTACCATGTAAATATTATGTTATTTAGGATTGCTTTAAAACTTGTAGCTGCAATTTAGTCAATAATTTTCTAAGCACGCCGATGAATCATGCGCATATTTACCACTTTGTTTTTACGCAGCGCCGCCGCCGCGCCGGTTGGCGGGCAGGCGCCGCCAGGCTGGCATACATTCTGACAATCCACGGCGGCTGCGCGCGCGCCTCACTCGTAAATCTTTTTACCTCTCGACTCCAGTTCCTCTATAAACTTCGGATTTAATAACAGAATCACTGAAACGTTATTTCAAAACTTCTATTAAGAAACTATACTCACTAGCTCCGGCTTATACCTCCGCGCTATAAGCAATGCCATTATTTACGATGTAACAAATTCTGTAGGTGTTTATCACTCTCGTATATCGTTGCGTTCTTAACATTCTTGTTGTAATATCTATAGTTTCTGATGAAAGTATTATAAATTTTAGAATATCCTATAAATTATTTTATTATTCAATGGAAACGTTTAACTTATACAGAATGTATTTCTAAGACGTTTGTTTTGTACTATTGATGCATATATGAAACTATTTAACTAAACAAGAAGACACTGTTCTGACATAAAACTGCTTCTTGACGTTTATAATCGCTTGACTCAGAAATCCACAAAAATCTTAATAATAATAATTTTCTTTATTGCACGCTAGACAGGACATAATACAGAGAAGATAGAAAAAAAGAGAGAGATTACAAAGGGCGACTTTATTGCTACGTAGCAATCTCCTCCAGGCAACCCGAGGCAAAGATAACCATGAACTATTAATAAAAAGATCTTAGTGGAACGTAGACAGTGAATTACTCATTTTCAAGTGTTGCAAATACAAACAAACTGCATTTGATATGTTTGTTAGAATAATAGCTTAATAATAATTAAATAGATAAATCTTCTTCGTTCAAAATTAAGAAAATATGTGTAAAGGTTTATTTTAGTGATTTTAGCTGTTTGGTGCATTACATTCAGTGTCGTAACGGTGTACCTATATACGCAATTTTACCGGCGATAGAGCAATTAATAAGCAAAAGGGAGTTGGCTAGATTGACCGGTTCGCTAGCAACATAGTCACAGAAGGACAAACTGACAACGTACGGTATTTATTGCTATAGATTGAATGTTCAGATTAATTACACATGCCAGGCCTCTAGAGCAGTACTAGCCTACCGACGTACTTATCTACCTCATCAATTGGCATTCCACAACACGCCCCGCCGATCACAACTCTAGCTAAATATATACAGAACTCATTCTTCATTGACAGATCTTTTCAATAATTGAAACACGATATCGCACATCCCCGCGTTGTAATTTAAACTCTCACACTTTAGACATTCGATAGATTTCAATTCGCAGTCCCTGCAAGTTAAAGCTTTGAAGTAAATCAACTAATGATTTTTGATCGAAGCTTTGTTAGAAAAACTAACTTTATAACGAGTTGGATAAAGTCTTGTTTGCTATAGGCCGCGACGGTTCATAAGACGTAATTGGTTCAGAAGAAATTTCAGTCACGCCACGTATGTATGTTTATACGGACGACATTGTCGACGCAGAAAAGAAGCTTCACGAACAGTGTTGAAATGCTGAATTGTCTTTTATGAATTCAAATTAAAGTTGAAATTAGATTTTCAAAGGAATGTCGCTTGTACTCGCCTTACTACGAGACATGCCAGTCAACAACTGATATTATTTATATCTGCTAGATGCTATGTTAGGCGTTTAGGGTCATTTACTTTCAAGTCTCAATCTTTTTTTCAGTTGCTTGCACAGTGGAATGTGAGATTGTTATTGTACTAGACGACCGACACATGCATAACTTTGTTCGTAGCTTTATAACGACGAAAGCATTGTTTTATTCACGAGATTACGGTTCGTTTTTTTTTGTCAAGAATGCTGTTAAGTATTTTATATGTCGAATTAAGCAACGATGGCGTCGTAAAACTCAATCGACAGATTTATAGGTTCCAAAATGTTGGTACTTTTCACTCGGCATGCAGGTGGATGCATCGATTGTTTTGAAATTTCTTACGCAAACACCGGCAACCGCTTCTGAGAACGACGCATGACCGCCATAATGTTCTTATTGAATTCAAAAATGTAATTGAGGAATAATTTGTATTCGAATTGTCTTTGTTGTGGCACTAAAGAACAATACTTGACACGTTCCGCGGGCTCTGGCGCCGAATTGCAAATGACCATTGCACAATTCGCATTCAGAAATCGAAAATACTAATCGCATTCGAAATACAAAATCGCCAATCGCGCGTGTCTGCTCAATCTTAAACGGACTAGACGGAGCGTTCTAAATTCAAACGATTCTATGAGTTCTTTCATTGCGTTCTACCTTCTTTCAAGTTAATGTAAGTAGGTATGGAGTATTACCCTTTTTGTACTAATTAATGGTCATGTATAGGTGGTTCAGAAAAGTAAAATCAAATTTGGATGTATCAAGATCGTTTGAAATTATATATTTTGATACAAATGACAGTCGGGACTTTAGATAACTCGTAAAATTGTCGTTAAACAAGATCAGAAATATAGGTTGCAGTTGCCGATGGAGGTCCGATGCCGACCATTATTGCCTTCGAGATTGTTTTACCTGTTTGTCTTGTTTGTTTAAGCTTTTGTTTTTGTTTCGGGTAAGGCGGTTGTTATTAGTTTGGTGGAATTTCAAAACATGTTGAACGGGTTCCGTTGCATCTTTTTATTTTATTTAATCTGCACGTATTCTGATGTAAATATTAAAACATTAGTGGGAATGACTGTTTTAACTCATACTAATATTATAAATGCGAATGTCCCTCTGTTATACATATTATCCTACTTAAATAATGTTTTCATTATTAAATTAAAATTTTTAAGCAGAATATTTAATTGAAACATCTTGTAAAATTAGGTACTTCCCATATTGGCGCAGTAACAAAAAAGGGTAGATAAGCCTATTTCCGTTCAATTAGTGGAGTTGCCATTTTTGAGCATAAAAATATGAATGTTCTGCCAAGTACAAAGCGTTATTCTTCTTGTTTTTTACAATACTCACTTGTTAGTATTAATTAAAATTAGTTTACTTAACCGATCCGGTCTCATAAAATTAAATATAACCACATAAATCTATCTTTTTTGTAACTTGTGTTTTTCAGTACTGGTCTTCAATTTTGGTTTCAAGTTTTTAACTTTAAGTTGGTTTTAAAGCTTAGTTTAATCTTATTAATGTGTGTGTATGAGGGTAATCGGTGTAGGTTGCCATGTGTTTAAGTTTTGGAAACTTGAGTATACAAACATTACTGTTTTTGATATTTTTATAAAAAATGGAAGGTGGACGGGAAACAGGCGCATCGACCCTACTTGCTTCTTGAATGAAAAATGCATTTGTTTATTGGTACTTTTTTGTAAGAACTCTGTGTGATGCGATTTATTTTAATATTTTTTTTTATGTTTGTTCCAGAAACCCCTCCTCCCCCCTATAGTCGGATAGCAATGGACGACCTCAATACTAAAGGTGAGTTGAAAATATGAACTTTTATAAAGTTAATTGAATTTCATGTTTCGTAAAGTCGCTTAATATGTAATTCTAGATTCTATTCTTAGCAGTGTCAAGGTATAAACTATATTATCTAAGTATATTTTTTCTGGTCTGAGTGACACTTCAAAGAAAGGTAATTATAAAACTATCGTGTAAACATCATAATCAACTTTCCTCAATCACAATATTGGTAAAAAGTGGAATTCTACGAGAATATTAATAAATTAAAAAACGAGAATTAAACCAACTGTTTAGTAGTCCAAAATGTCCTTTAAAGTTATTTACATTTACAGAGTTGTAATATAAGTATACCGTAGATAAATAAAAGGATGGAATAATATTTAAAATAGGAAGCAGAACGAAATTTTTGATCTACTATAATTTCTGTAGCAACTTTTAAATGTTGAGATTTTTCCTTGGTCGGGTTGAAATAACAATATCGTGGTAATCGAGGATCTGTAGTATCTGAATATAGATCATAGATCAGAATCCGAGTTGAACGGTTTTTTGTGAAAAGGCGGGAGATCGAGGAATTCGACCGCAAGCCGCCGGCGCCCGCGCCTCTTCCTGGAAATTAGGGATGGATAGTGGTGCTACACGATTCATAATAAATATCGATATATTTGAATAATCATTTGTTATTTGTGTTTCGGTCAAATGAAAATAAATTAATTTATAACATTGCAGTTACTAGTGAAATAAAGGTAAAATAATGGTACATTTTCATTCACAATTATTTCATAAAAGTACCGCAGTTTATATTTTTAAACGTGTAACTAGAATTTTCAATTGATCCCGAACAGAGCGTTCTCATTGTCGAAACTATAAAATGAAATAAACAAAAGATCAGTTTTTAAAAACTGATTCACGTGGGAATATGTTATATTATAATAGGCTAAATAACATAAAAAAAGATTCTCATATTATCTCTACAAATTAAATAACACAAAAGGTGTAAATAATTGCCGTGGTGAATTTTTAATTGACGTACGCCTAAATATAGAAGTCGTTTATTGGTATCATTGTAACAGTAAGCCTAGTGTTTACAGCAATATTTAGTAACTTTCTTTAACCACAGTGATAATTTATCTCAATATCTCTACGTTTTATCAGTATATTATCGATAAAATTTTACTAGTCATCATAGTTATTAAAAATAAACTCTTTATTTTATGTCTTTGGAGATTTTTATCTCATATTTTCTCATGCGTTACTTTCAATTGATTCAATTCCAACATCCTGTTTTTTTACTATCAACAAAATTAACACTAACATTTCAATAAATGTTGCGCCACAATTAAAAAAGAAATATTTTAACTAAATACTTACTTATCGTAGAAGTAGGTCTGCAACAAATTGATATATTATATAAAATAAAATACTTTTATTATTACTGATACAGATTTAATATAACAGGAGTAAATTGGTTCGCATAATTAGCAAAATCAGCGTGTTTAAGGATAGCATCGCAAAACGAGTTAATGGCCCGATAATCGTACATCGGTGGCGCCTGCGTTGATATGCTTTTTTATTATACTAATTAAACGCTGACATCGGGTCGCCCATCTCTTTAAAGCCTACAAATTCATTCTCGTTTACATTTACAACGTATTGGTATTTTATATTTGTAATTTTCATATGCATAAAGATTGTATTGTATTGTATATTTGTTTTTATATTTATAAAAAATATGCAACCAAATTATTATAAAAAAATACAGAAATAACAAAATCACGGTAGCGAGCACAAACGATCGTTGCGCTTAACTCCTGCACAGCACTAGTCTGGTCCCGCGCATTCCGACACGGCGGCCATCTTTAAACTACATTATTAATGCTCGCGGCTCGGCAAACAAGTCGGCCTTTTTTCGAGCACCATGTTGCGCCAGGATATATTTGTTTTTAATAAAGACCCACGCGGCGTAGGCTCGGTAATGTCCATTAGTTACGACAAGTCCGATTTGACAATTGAATGGGCCTTGCGGTTGGTACGAACGCTCTACTAATTACTTAAGTCTTAATATAAAATTTTCACCTTTAATTAGTGGTTGTAGTTTGTAGCACATCATGTTTTTTTTCTATATACCTTAAAATACCTACCTATCAAAGAAGACATTCGTTCATAGGTTATTGTATCATCTGAATCATAGGTAAATACTGATACTAGTTATTTGGTCACATTACCTGAGTAAGTATGTTGTTAAAAAGTTGCGATGTCGGTTGATACGTCACAGGAAATCCCGTGGATCAAATCGATGCTCCCGAGGGCTCACCGGGATTCCCTGCAGTTCTCATCGTAGGGTTTCCCTTATTTCTGGCGAGACCACCCCTCCATGTGGCGCCTGTCTGCCATTCAGGTTGATATATTACCCTCCTTACTTTATTGGACAAACCCTACCCATTAAATGTGTAAACATCCGATTACACACAGTGGAATGAGCACATTTTCGTTTGTTAAGATTCCAAATAAGTTTGATTAAGAATTTAGAATCCGACTCTGATTCAAATTGACGAGACAATAATGCCGTCATAAATTTATTTCGTTTCAAAGCGAACCGTATCCTCTAATCGCTCTCAACATCCTGTTTCGGGCCGTTAGTGAATGGATGGACGCAATTTGGGTCCTCCCTTTTTTTCGATACGGTTGACATTGACATTCCGATCGGCTCCATTACGCTCTTTCTCACGTGCTTCCTCGAACCCATTCATTCCATTTAGGCGACAATCTTGCGCGTTCAGGTAAACGCGTTCGTTATTACCGAATTTAGACTGTAAATGTAAGCTGTTAGGTCATTAGCTGGCGGTATACGTGTCGCGGTGGTTGGGTTCTGATCCCTTCCCTCGAGTATCGGCAGAGTGGCGATAGCGACAGTCTCCATTAACGTTATCGGCGCGTTATCGAGGCGCCGGCGCCGCTTGCTAGCACAAATATAACTGGTTAGTGTTTGCCTTTGTCCGCTCTGCTCTCGTTAGGTGACCATTCCTTATTTGAAACTATTGTCGACCACTTTTCGTTTATTACACCAAGTTCAGAGATTGCTCCTTCGACCGCTAAGTGAACTGGCGGCCCTCGATTGTTCCATATCTCGTTTAGGTAACGGTCTTATAAGGTTATTTTGTCACGTTTATTTTTTCCTTTTTCAATAAGATGAGGAAGTTACAATACGAGTAAATGCTGCGTAGTAGGATAATGACCGATTTCAATACAGTCATAGCTACCATCTTGCTAATTATCTGTCCTTATCATGAAGTTTATCGCAACGTTATTTTATTTTACAAAATCTGTATTAGTGATAATCGTGCCATCTACCTTAGTTTCTGAACTTCAATTTGAGTCATAATGACTGCAATATTAATAAAATTTATTGTTATCTTAAAGTGGTAAATATTACGTTTTAGTAATAGCACGATCTATCCTTTAGTTTGTCTATCGTCCCCGTCACGAACAATACTCTTACCATAATTTGACTCATTCTCTTAGAATTAGCTTTTTAAATCGATACCTAACGATTTTGTTTAAACTTTGTAAAAATTTCAATTACATATGTATTAACGTTTATTGATTCTCATTTTGCCATTTTCATTAATAAATATCCTTGGGTTTCCATAATGGATTCTAACTACAGCTATCTAATTAGTGACAGTCGTCTGTGTCGCATTAAGTTTGCTTTTCCAATACACATCAACATGTAGTATAAAATAGAGAGGAGAATATTTCATTGTCATCTAATTTAGTGTCCTGAGCTTGCTGGATTCCTCGGTGTGCCGCTGGAATGTGATCCGCTGAACTCTGAGACAGTTTATTGTGTTATTTCAGTCACGATTGCACACTTATGTGTTGTTTGTACCACTAAGTTTGTAAATACAGTGTGCTGTGAATGCTGCACTGGATTTTAGTGTGTCAACCGTGGTACCATTTATAAGCAACTATATATATTAACACAGTCCTCATAAATATTATGATGTTTCTCGAATTATTCTTTGTTTGCGCTCTTCATAAATATGCCTGGAATGCTATCGCGATTATTTTTAAATATATTTTAATTTATGTTTAATATGAGCTTCAATTTAATAGGCATTCATTTTAGTTAGGGTTTCATCATTCGTGTATCACAGCATCATCTTTGTGGTTAAGTTATTTGTAATGACATGAGTCTTAAGATTCTGGTTTTTTTTTAGTATATCTGGTAACAAACACAGAGAGATAGATCATATTAGATTGATTTTATGTTAGATTCTAGTCAAAAAAATGTGTCGTTTGTGTTCACTTACAAAACTTTCTTTATACACTTATTACGAAAACTCATCTAATTCCAATCAAATTTGTATCAAGCACAACTGTAATATTCTAATATTGGAAAAATTCGATATTTTCATGGAGGTAGGTGTGCGCTGTATAAATATCAATACGTAAATTTAACTTACGTGCTCGATACAAATTCAATTCCAACTCGAAAAAATTTTCGAAGGGCACTGAGTGACAAGTCGTGCCGTGTGTTGTAAAAGTGGCCCGGTGTCATTGAGCCTCCAACTATTCAGTGAGCGCGGCGTGTGAACGCGGCGCATGCGCATGCGTCCTCTAGTACCGGTTGTCCCGCTACCTTTGTTATTATTTCAATTTGATGCTCATTGTACTTTCCTTTGTAGCTACAAAAGAATGTTTCGTTTGCTCTATTCGAATCGTTTGTAACCACTGTAACAAACCTTATATGTCATTAGGTTTGGTAACTTTGAAATAATTCAAATTTATATTTCATCTTCTAAAAATATAATGTCTTGAAATAAAATTGCAGTAGTTTTAAATAAGCATTGAATCTTGTACGGTATTTGAAAGTTGTATCGAATTAATATGGTAACGTATTGAAAGTTCTCGTAAAAATCGAGAAGCTTGTTAGTACGAAAAGTTATCGATTACTAATTAAATTAATCATATCCAGCAAATGCCATAGTAATGTGTACAACGACATCTACCTCCGGAAATGGAAACTAGTTTACAAATACACACAGAAAAACTTCCTGACTCGATGTTTTATAAAACTCACTATGAAGAAACAAGATTAATCGTTAGATCGATTAAGAATTGTCGCTATTTATTATTTAAATATATAGTACCTTAATTACTAATTGTGTTTATATTTAAATCTCGGCAAATATTATTTACAGTACAGAATCAATATTTAAATTTGCATACTCATTATATTTTTTTCCTGTACAATTCTCTACTGTAGGTTTCCTAGGGAAATTAAACTTAAGCAGTGAAATAGTTTAGATGTTAGTGTGGCCGTTGTACAATAATATTTTGAGAGTACACCTTTGTTATTATAACGTGGAAGCGAGATTTCTGCTTTAAATTAAATATAAGTATATGCATACACGTGGCACTAAATTCAATAACATTGAGCCATTTACATATGTATATGCTTGTTTTGTATTGCGAAACATGTATAATACATCTGCGTTTTAAAATGAAAAAAAAAAACACTAAATCGAGTTTAAAAAATTAGAGTGGGCTTAAATAAATTAAAAACATTACAGTTGTTTAGTATAATAGCTCTGTCCACGTCACTCCAATGTAACTTTAAGATTAAGGGAAAAAACAAATAAAAAGCTTAGGCAGGAGTTGTATGGAAAATATATCATTCTATTTATATGTTAGTTTTTATTTAAATCACAACGAATAATTCATTGTGTCAACGCAGAATCTTAAATTATAAAGAAAAACAAAATAGTAATTTATTTTTGGTATTATCGCGATAGTTTTGTTAGTTTTAAAAATATTTATTATAAAAACAACTACATATTTGCATATGCCATGGTTCATGTGTATGTCGCAGGTAATATTGGACAATTCGCTTATTTACATAGCTACTAGAGATTTAGAAAAACGCAACTGTTGTTAAATTATGATGAATATACTTTAATTATATATTATTGCGAACTTTCGCTTTAGGCGTTTCAAATTCTTCAATGCACGGATTGTGAACATCTGATTTTTGACAATTGTAGCGTTTATAAGAGTTCAAAGGTGACCCGTTTGCATAAACTTGCCATCCTTTAAAAACCGTACAGAATTTAGGTAATGAAATATTTACCTAAACTCTGTACGGTTTTTACATTACAATACTGTAAAATATCCCTACTCGATGTTAAACCTTACTATGTTGATGGTTGAGGTGAAAATCCATTGCAGAAATTTGACAATTGTGGTGACCTGATATGTAGCCGTGTGAACCTTAATGATTACCTTTGTAATAATCACTCGTTATTAAAAATAAAATATTGCAATCCTAAGCTTTAATTATTAATGGATTCAATAAAAAAATAAGATTGCTATACGCATCTTCAGAAATAGTAGAGTAATAAATTATTCACGCGATACCTATCATGTGCCTTATTTTTAATTAAAGATTTTACTCTAAAATTTAGTGATCACGCCAGTTTAAAACAATAATTCAGAATTATAATTTGGCCTTCCACCTAGATAGTATGCGATACGGCTAAATTTATTATTTGACTGCGACAACATATTCTTATTAGTTCGCCTCGTGTGGTCTGTATTCTTTATATATACATAATTGGGATTTGTGCGCTTGTCTAGTTATTTGAGTTATTTTACCGTCCTTGATGAGATCACTAATATGCAAATATATATAATATTAAATACTTATTTATGTAGGTACGTATCCGAGCGTCTGATGATCATAAAGGTTTATATATTATAATTTTTATAGTATATCTTTTTTTTCATTCACTAGTGATTCGTATTAACATTTTAAACTTATTTATGTTACCTACGTCAATAGTCCGCCTTATGGCGGCATTAAACGTTTTTCTTTAAAAAAAAACAGTCTTCATTTGTAATACAAATCACTACACAGTAAATGTCGTGTTTCGCTTCTCATTCTGCGCCTGTTAGACTTTTAACTCTTAGTAAAATAACCTGTTTCCAATTTTCAATGCAGTTTTCATTGGGGGATAGATGAATAGATGCTTATTAAGATTTAAATAACCCTTTCATATTATCTTACTAATTTTTCGTCGGCGACTGCACCCATGTGGTCGTGTATACATTTAAAACTTCTCTGTATATTGATGGAAACGACATTAAAGTACGTCGTGTGGCGGGCAGCCACTTTGTTTTATCTATTTGTATTTAACTATAGACGAATCGAATGAGTCCAAACATGCCTATTCCGAAAGATAAAGATGAGGTTTCATTTCATTGAAGTAGATCTGTCAGAGCGCTACGCTGAACTTCGAGTTTTGAGGCTGCTGTTTATGAAAACAGCAAAGGTGTATCGAGGTTATAATGCTGACGTTTTTGTAGTAGCCTTATAATAAAATCTGAAAATTTTAAGAGTTGCATCAGTACACTTATTATGCTATATATGTGTTACATTTTTAAAAGTTCATATCCTGAAATCGTCTCTAAAGCACATAGGTAACAGGTAACACCAGCCCTTTTACGTCCCCACTGCAGGGGCTCAGGCCTTCCTTATGGATGGTTAAGGAGGATAGGCCATGACCCTTCACGCTGGCCCAATGCGGATTGGAGGGTATTAACGACTGCAAATGCAGCCGGGACCAACGGCTTAACGTGCCTTCCGAAGCACGGAGTAGCTCGAGATAATAATTTTTTGGTCACCCATCCCGTGACCGACCCTTGCGAAAGTTGCTTAACGACTACGATCGCGGGCCGCGGCGCTTATCCACTACGCCACTGAGCTACTCACATAAATATTGATAAACTCACAAATCAAGTAGACAGCAAACTGCGTGCGTACGCGATATTTACTCTTTCCATGATTTACGAAACAAGACACGAGACAAGTATTCGTAATTCGCAATGAGAACAAATTTTGAGACGCAAACAAACATCAATAATTTAATAAATATTATTTATCATTCTTAAACTCTTTACTACACATATTTTTTTAGGTGTGCGCGACAAAAAAGGCCGGTAGTCTTTTAGATGTACTAACTTAAATAAACATTATATGTACTGTCGGTAGAAAAATATAAAAATCTTTCGTCTGAAGATCCCGAGATGAGCTTCGACCCTATAAGTCTTTTGCAAACCAAATAAACTTAATTCTTTAAAAAGTCATAATATGACATTATTATTGCTTGAATGAAAACTTCGTGACGATTACGAATGGCCATTCAATTCTGATATCTCGACATTTTTTATGCCTCCCAATAAATTACTAATACACCTCCAGTTCTGTGTGTACGCGTGTGTGTGTGCGTGTACGCAGGTGTCCATGATGTCATACGACAACCTGATGTACTGTGACCATCAAATCATAATCAACATTGGCGCTATATAAATAATGTTAATTCAACTCTAATAAGATTCAACGGATTAAAATAAACTTCCTCATGATATGTGCGGTCGGTTGTACCGGTCTTTTCGACTGGGTCCTTACATCGGCTAGTTTTTTGTAATGTTGATACCTGTTACAATGTTTTTGACTATATTTTATTAAGGAGATAAGAAAGAAAGCAAACCTTGGTAGGTAGGTTATTAGTTTGCTGGGAAAGTTAAGAAAGTAATATAAAAAAATGAATTTTGTTATTCTATAATGAATTAAAGTGTAAGTAGTTGATAAACTTTGCTATGTTAATATTTTGTCAATAGAAATATACTTTCAGTTCGTCTTCGATAGCATGTTAACACTTAAAATTGCAGGATATAGGTAACTGTTAACAAAAACCATTCAATGATATTGAGAACTATAGTTTTAACACATGCCTAAACTATTTAGTTTAAGTTTTTGATTAAAAAAAAACCTGGATTCTGGTTTATGATAATATAAAGTAAAAATATAATTAATAAAATAAAATTAGATAAAATTACGTAATAAAGTGCATCATATACAACCATAGCTCTGTGGGTTGAAGTCGTTTGGTTCATGTAATTATGGGAAATGTTTATATATCAAACACATAATAATTTTACGATTATTGTATAAGTAGCTTTCCGCCATCGGCATCCTTCGCGTGGTTCACAAATTGATTGTACATTTATCTCTAGAGAACAGTTTAGTGGCAAAGTATACAAAAGTGGTAGTGGCACAGTGTACAAAGTAGCCTATGTCTTAATTCAAGTTTAGAATCACCCGTATACCTACCAAAATCCGTTCAGTAGATTTTGCGTGAAGCAGTAACAAACATACATGCGTCCTCACAAACTTTCGCATTTATAATATTAGTAAAATTATTCGTGGTAACTCTTTTGTATAAAATGAGGCTCAATGTATTGTCTTCACTATATTTTTTATATATCGATAAAACGATTATATTTTCTACGATATTCACAAGAATTATGCAATCTGAAACTACCTAATCATTCTAAAAAATAACACTTATCATTCATTTTATCTGCGTCTATTTTGACTTGGACTTGTTATAGATAATTTTTGTTTTATAACGCTATGTTATGTGTCAACACACGATTTGCGTATATCCGAGGTTTGATTAACATTACTTTTTCAATTTACTAATGCTACTGTAATAAAATCTTAACGTTTATTGTATATTTACAGAGATTTTTTACTAACACAAGCCGAATAAACCATTTGTAACAATAAAATCATAAACAAAGTTGCACTTTCACAAATGCCAGTAATTAGACCGAAAATATTCCACCGCAATTTCCTCCGGGTAGTAGGATAGTGATGGGTTGTTTCGCCCTGTTTGTATATATCCATAAGAAATGCCTTCGACTTATTAAAGCTCCTACCTTTTTTTGTTACGCAAAAGTTTCTAAAGTGAGACATTGTCAGACGTGTGTAGCTGCCATCTGCATCAACCATTACAATTGGATTGTGTTAGAGTACGATTAGTGCTTGTAAGGATGACGAAGAGTAATAATAAGGATCAAATAAATAATGTCAATTGTATTATTGTTTCAGAACACGGCGAAAGCACCCAAGACGCGAGAAGGACTGATCATGAGCGGCTTTTCACTGGCTCCCTCGCTACTGATGGCGCAGGTGAGCAGTTATAATATTAGCATAACAGAACACAGATAATTAGCACGATGGGATGGTGTACAATGTAATAATGTAACCTTCGTTTGGACACCTGCGTCATAAGACGACACGATTCTATCGCCGTATACGCTGAGCCCTGGTAGGCAATTCTGTAAATGTTAGCGTTATTATGGAAAGTAAATAGCGCTTCAACTGCAACCCTTTAAGACATTGTTCTTGTTACAAGATCAGAAAATAATGAATATATCTGTCACCATTGATTTGTGAGGAAGATATTGCACTAATATTATTGGACTTCGGGCAGATGTTAAATAAGAATTGAGGCTCCGCAGCCGGAGACTTCCTCACTACTATACTTCCTCAGTACCTACAACACGCCTTATGCATCTTTTTAATGAATCGATTACAAACTCTTCTGTGGTCTAATTTTTTCAAAAATTTAATATACTAGCAGCGGTCATTTGCACAAACGTCCATTCAGGTTTAAGCTCTAACGACTGTCAAATTTGCATGGGTAATGTCGCTTTAAACTAATGAACATTTTAATGGACGTTGGTGTAACTAGCTGTGATTGTTAAAATGCAGTAAAAAAGAGAAATAATTCGTTATTATGCAAACTTTATTTGGAATCATTAACTTATTTTACACTTATAGGTGCGATGTAAACTTCGTACTCACGCAATATTTCTTTAATGGAAACATTAAATAACTCAAGAAGCAATTTATTTTTATTTATTTGTAGTTTATTGCATTAAAAAAAACTCAAAAGGCATTTTCTATTAGCGCCAAAAGACAAGCGTCTTTAAGTTAGGTATAATTTTCCATCTTGCTATGGAAACTCCGGACCAGGAGGTTTTTACCATCATTAATGTTTCACTTAGGGATCTAATAAGTTTATCTCAGACATAAAAAGCGATGGACCCACTTGAGATTTATCCGAACCACAAGTGGTCTGCGGACCATTGATTAAGAACCACTGCTTTTGCGTAAATCTTAAAGTCACATAAATATACGTATTGTCGGTGCGTTATAATTCAAATTTGAAATTGTCAGTATATTTTGTAGTTGTAATTACCCAATCCTCTGGGATTGTGGTATAAAACTAGTCCCATCAGACCAGTGGTGCGGTAACCTTGACGATCGATCGCGCCCAGCCGGCGCCACTCGCCGCAACAACACCATATTTCATGGGATCCGTGGGACTGGGTGTTACCACGATAGCACTGTCTCGTGGGACTGGACTAGATTTAATATCTGGTGGGGCTTTTTGGTGGTATACACAGTATGGCAATAAGATATATTCTATTCAATCAAATTTAAAAATGCAACTGTGTCGACATAAAATGTACTTTCTTTTAGTTTTTAGGAACAGCGAAATTTTTGCTGTTAACAGATAGGTCCTCAAGAATATATAGTATTGTTTTAATTGTAATGTACATTTGTCATTCTTCAATTAATATATAATCGATTAGTTGACAATAAATATACCGATTTATCAAAATTGTAGGCTGAACTAATGTCACTTCACGAGCTATTTGGTTAATTTATGATTTAGAGAATTATCTTGACGAAGTCTGATCTTTGAAGTAAGACAAGTTTTAATAGACTGCTGTGGAATGCTGAATATCATGAAAAATCACCAGAACAATATAAATTAACGTTTCCAGCTGAACTATATTAAGATTGGCGTAGAGTATCGGGTTACAAAAGACAAAGGCATTGTTAAAATAATCAGTGATCACAGTGTTGTGACCGACGATCCGTCAGTTAGTAGCACCGAGCCAATTTTGTGAAGTGATACCATCAGCGCTGATGTAATGTATTGAAATACATAAATTGTAATTTGTCCTGCAATTATCGGCATCTTTATAGTCAATTGGAATGTAGGAAAATATCAACAGTCATAGTTGAACAGTAATATTATAAGCGCTTTGGTTATTAACGCATTAGGTAGTGGTTAGCGATCTAAACGTAGTTCCAATGTCTACAAGTCAAGTTTGAGAATTCTAATCAAATTATACAACATAAAATTACTTAGCAGTTGTGGGTCGTTATAAAATTTGATAAATTAGGCATCTAACATTTGCGGGGGACATTATAATATTTACCGTCGGAATTTGCTAACAAATGCCAGGTTCCGTTTCTATCATCACAAAGCAACGGTTTCAACAGAAATCTTGGCGTAGTAATTGAACTTTTTTTTCATTGTACTAAATCAAAAATCGTGAACGGACATTTCTCAAAGTTTACTGGCACCGGTTGTTTTAGATATAGCTTGGTTTTGTTGTCATCATTAAATTTAGCATCAGTCCACGTTGCTCTCTTCAATGTGTTGATATTCTGGAAGGTTCCTCCTCTATTCCATTCACCTTCAGATTGTGTTGAAAGTTATACGTTACTTGTTCAGTATTTGACCCGCGACGGACGCATGCCGACCGCAACGCTCAGTTTCGAGTGTGACACGCGTTTCTGACCGCAATAGTTGTAGGTGTACATTAATTATGTATTTGAGGCAACATAAAAGCCTAAATAAGTATTGTGGGCCTTTACTAATTATTCAGCCTTTAATGGAAGTGGCAACTTTATAACAGTGTTAAGAACTTGTTATAATTTATCTACCTATAGTTGATTTTATATAAAAAGTCATATGAGGTACTTATTTATTGTAATACACATCCTTTCAACTTTATCGCGATAAACATAGTTCCTAGTATTATGATTCATAATTAAGTAATATTTAGGTATTACAAGAACGACTATTCGATGACTAAAAGTTGACCAACTATTTCCGAATTCAAGAAGGTTATAAAAAAATATTATTATTTGAACACAAAGCTAACAACAAAATGATTAAACTGAAGTTTTCTCTTAAGCTTTTTAATCTACCCTCTTTTTGTTATTACATTTGTGAACCTTTTCGCCATTATGATATCTAATAGATTTATATTTAATTCAAATCAAATGCAAACTGCTTTCTATTCGTCTGTATATCAAATAAAGCTACCCAGGTTACTAAGTGTAAACATTTCAAATGGTATATGAACAGTTCTTTTTGTTTTCGATATGAAGTGTTATAAAGAAAACTAATGTACCCCGCAGAAGTGGCAGTACTTTCTGTTAAAAAGATAACGTCGAACGTAGCTTCGAAGGCAGCGCTGTATTTTCATAGAATACCAAAGCTTTTATTACACACAACTCTAACCAAAATGCTAGTACAGTTTTACAATAAAAATATAATGTTATTTGTGATTGCATAGCAAATTAGCTGCGACAGACGAGATAGTTTGTAAAGCAATGGTTTTTGCCAGTTATTAATTAAATATATTTGAACTTGGGAATCTAACTAATTATTATCTATGTAATAAAATAAACAGATTAATTATTTATTTCATTTACACCGTGGTTTTACTTATAAAATCTTTTAAAAAGCTCCTCCACCAACCTGATACCATCCGCGAGCCGCGACCAGAAATCAAGAAACTGCTCTAAAGCCTAAAATTTCATATTCCTTTTTTTTGTTTAGTGTTTTAGTCATCTTCTCTATAAGATATTTAGTGTGAATAATGACAGAAGTTTTAATGTCTCAATATTTCTTTATTTTCAGAGAAGCAAACTTGGGAGACGGAGTGGTGTAGGCTCGCGTACTGGGAGCTAACACAACGAGTCGGCCGGCAGTTCGGTGTGAAGCCGCGGACCGTGGACGTGGTCGGCGGTGACGCGTGTGCCACCGCTAGGCACAGCTTCTGTCTCGACGCCCTAGACACTAGAGACACGCCTCAAGTAGACCAGGTCGGTACACTCTGCGAATACTAGGTCTTACTTCCAAAAAGCCTTACAGACCAACTACCTTATTCGTACACTAGCAATGTAAATTATAGCCTACCCACATCAGCCGCGTATGATATTGCTTCCAGTAGATGAAAAAAATATCACGATCGGATTAGTATTTCCGAAGATTACCCCCTACAAACAAACAAAATTAGAAATATTATTTCTTTATAATATTAGTAAAGATTTAGATAAAAATCCCTTTTTACCGACTGCAAAGGAAGGTCATATGTTTTGCGCGTATCTTGTACGTATGTATATATGTAATATCCTTTATTACTGCATATCTTCGAAACCGCTGAACGGATTTAGATAATTGAAGTTTCGTTAGATTTGTCTTAGTAGCCCAAGTATTCTTAGTGAGGTAACGTTAAAAAAATCCAATATGGCGGCTGTGTGACACCATTATATTTAATGATAATTTTTTTTTTCAAATTCTACAATATCATGAAAAACAACTAAATGAAAAGGCTGGAACAGGATTATTAAAAATTATGCAACACCATATATAACATGCGGTCGGAGGCATGCATAAAGACTGATTTGCCATTTTTACCTTGTTACAGCCTTTTTTATAATAAATATTAATAATATTATAAAGTGTATATATTTAATTATTATTTGTATCAATTACCTGGACAGATTTTAAAAATTATTTTACCCACGCGAAGCTACTGCGTACGTGAATAATATAGGCTTAATTTACGCGTGCGAAGTCGTGGGAATTCCATCTAATTTAATATAAAGGACGCCTTTAATAATTAAGCTTCATATAACACAATCTTTTTCTTGCTTAAACGATGCATAAACAATTTTTAAACTAGAGGATACTCTTATATTCATTATTGAAATAATAAATTATCAAATAAGTACAGTACGACTATCAAAACTAAACATTAATGACATTACATGACATTAATTTTATAATTTTCCTATAATTTATTCTTGCCAACGTTTCCCAAAACTGTTCTTATCGAAGTCTTCGTTAGAAAACAGCGCAGGGGTCAGATGATCGTAACCGCTGCTAGTAAGTCGCAAATGAATAATTTTCTCTCTATTAAGTGGTCAGCGATAACCGATATTGATTTAGCGGGACTTGTGCCACCGAGATAACCCTGATACTCGATAACATTATAGAGAATAATTTCAAACACGATATCGGATCGCGGACCGGTCGTCCCACTCCTAAGTACATATTCGTATAGTTTAAATAAAATTATTATTAAGGTTATCGAGGATGAGGTCAAATTTATGTTATTTAATCATATATCGTTGAATCTGCGGGAGTCCTAGGACTGAAATGAAGCTTCCAGAGCATAAATACAGCTTTGTATTCTTCCACATTTTTCGAAATACCAAATCATGTAATTCTTCATAAATTTTAATCTAAAAGTATTATATATCTTTACATTATATTAATTAATAAGAACAGCTAAAGTATTCGCGTTATGGACATAAGACATGTCAAAGGTGTCAACGGCAATGTGCCAACTCCAGACAAATGAAGATCGTTATTATATCTATCCAGACTAGAATAAAAGACTAACAATAACCGCGGTCAAGAACGGCGCCATTTATGTACAGAAAAGTCTTTATGAAGATAATGTGAAACGGTAACATTAATCGTCGTCTCTTTCCTCCGCAGGTGCGCAAAACGAGATCGAAGATCGGTCTAGGCGTGACCCTCTCGCTGGAGTCCGACGGCGTGTGGCTGTACAACCGCAGCCAGGAGCCGGTGTTCGTGAGCTCGCCGGCGCTGGACGCGGCCGCGGCGAAGGCCCTCCTCGTGTGGAGGGTCGCGCCCGGTCACTGCCTCTGCATCTTCGACCCGCAGTGTCCGCCCCCGGCCCGCTCCTTACCCCACATTGGGCCCGTGGACCCGCTGTCCGTGAGGATCTCCTTCGCTAAAGGCTGGGGACCGAAGTACTCCAGGCGGGAGGTGACCGCGTGCCCGTGCTGGCTCGAGGTCCTCCTCGCGCCGCCCAGCTGACGCCCGAAATAGACCGGAGGGGGCGTCGCTTCGGGGGGCTGAACGACTTGTGGTTTGGGAACCTACGGTATTTAGAAAACCCGAAAACTCTTGAAGAATTCGAAAAAGGAACACTAAGAAACGAAAGTTTCGATACCACAAGGGGGTAGCCGTGATTTCACAGAATAACCCATTTCTATTGAGTGATTCGAAAGGTTTACTCGTCCGAAGCGGTCGTCTCGTTGTGATAGTGTGTGATGAACGAATGGTGCAGTGCAAAGACGATATGAACTCCTGAACGGTTTCCGTTTAAGTCATGGACCTTTATTAATCTAATTTAAATCGGAATACACTCGGGGACATTAAAAATTACCTGTATATAAAAATAGATTTGATTTTAATTATACAATGACCTTAAATTGTTATACAATATGTTTTTAATGTATTCGAGTGTAATAAGCTATATTTTAATGTTATGTTTGTTGCAATCGTATGTGACGATGCCCGTGTTTTGGGTGTTTCTTGACCTCCTCTTATTGAGAAAAATAGCATGATGTATTTATTAAATTTATGAACGCAGCAGATCACGTTACACCACAAAATGTAAATATAATTAATCGTTTTAAAGCAAACGCGCGTATTCACGAGGCCTTATAAGTCAATAATTGGTATTAATGTGATGGTTTTTTTTTAATGAAAAGAAAACAGTGCAATATGTCATTAACTTTATCATATTTAGTCATTTATCATTCATCTCGTTAGCTACTCTCACAGATTGGAAAAGCCAATTTTGTCGTGGAGTTCCTTAAGACACTGTTTTCTCATTACTATGCCATGGAAATTATGGGGCCTTACTCCGTGTTATATGTACCATATAGTCAACTATACAATTTTCTAAGTTGTATATTATTATGTATAGAGCTCGGCTTTAAGACAATGCGAGACTGTATATATAAAAGTTATGTACTATATTATTTGTAATAAACTATTTATAATTATGAAATATGCCTTACCTTAGATTGTAAATTATTTAAGATTAATGTATAGTATATATTTCTTTTTTGTACAAAAATAATTATTTGATACAACTTTTTTGTATTGCGAGTTGATAACCGTTATATATGTGAAGAGAAGGCTGTGTGATAAGCATTTCTAACTGACTCCAGGAAAAAGTTATGATGAAATGTATCTCAGTATGTGTCATGTGCATCACGGGAACAATACCAGAAACACATAGTTTCCTTTAGACATAATCACACATTGATTTTGATCTTTTAGTTTTTATAATCGAAGATCTGCCAATGTAAACATTGAAGTTTATTAAAAAATAGTGCAATCGTTGAATTTTTTTTAATAAAGGTAATAGATAGGTGAAATTATAAAACAGATTTTGAACATTGTGCCTTGCGTTGTATTCAGAATATTATAATATATAATATAAAGTAATAATCCAAAATTTATACATAATATATAGGGTAATAACAGTCAATTTCACTGGCTTTTTTAAATAGGTATATACAAATACATTATATGAAGCTCGAATTTATGAGTGTACTGCTTAGAGACAAAGTGAGTTGACTTGACAATAAGATTTCATTCTAGTCTTTTTAAAAAACCTTGCTTTGTCGTAATACACATAATACATAGGTAAACTGTTAGCACGTACAGTGAAGAGCCAGTTTGTTAAAAAATTATATTTTCATGAACATTTTAAGCCACAGTCGACCACTATTGAATAAAACACAGATATTTATGAATACAGTAAACAATTTTCTCATCCTATTTCGGTTTCGATAATTGCAATAAGCCTGGCCTTCATTCCAGAATTAAAATTACTAAATATATAATAAGTATACATAGCAAACGTTTTTTAGTCACAAAATGCAAGCCAGTTCAAATACATCATAATTATTAATTTGGTTAATTAAATTAATAATGTCGATAAAACAAGATGCTGTTTAGTCATTGCATTAGACTGAAGTAGAGCCTTAATCTACCATCTACAAATTTGTTAACATTGTGTGTTTTTTGAACCGACTTTTCTAATTAAATCTGTAATTGTATTTGGTTTTCACTACATAAATTGATAAAATAATAGCACAGATCAAATTACACCTACTTAATGAAATTTCTGCACATTTCTTTTGGCCTGCAGTGTACGTTTTATAATTTTGCATTAACTGTTAAAATACACACTGTTGATGATTTGTTAGCTGGCGTTTAACGTAATTAGGAATCTTCGATTCGCCTGTTACTTCTTTAGTTGTAATTTTGACGATGGACGAGATTAGGTTATGATAAATTATAAATAAAGAAAGAGAATATTTTTAAATTGCTCAGCAGTTTTATTTCCTTATACATTTTTTTAATTAATATTAGTATAAATAAATTTTACTTATTCATATAAGTAAGTAGTTTGTATAGTTTTGAAATAATAACAATGTATACAGCAAAACTTTCAGTTCAAATTCGCTAAAAGACTAAAAAACTTGATTATGAGTAAATCTTGCTAAGTAGTTATCATAGTCGCCATAAAGAGGACACGGCAGCTGATACCACAAAATATAATAAATCTATAATCAATATTGAACTTAATGACGAACAATTTAAGGTTCAAAATCAATCTAAAACAACAACAGTTACCATAACCTGGTTTCTTATGATATTTTATATTTAAGACGTTACCAACTACATTATATTATTAAAGAATCGTATCACATTTTAAATTATTTTTCATGTTTAATAAATATGGGATTCCATACTTAATGAATCCCCATAAAAAATTGTACATCGTCGGATGTATAACCATTATAAGCAGTGCCGAAAGCGAGCGAACTCTGACTAGTGCGGAACGCAAAATATTGTTTTAAATTAACAATATTTAATGTTGATATTTTATAAATACATATTTTAACAGTTTTTTTTAATTATTTATAGGTACTAACTAGAATAAGAATCTTAAAGATCCTATTGAAAAAATCAGTCAATAAATTTTTCTTTTGCTCACCATTGCTCATTCCAATTTCTTCAGTGTGGTATTCGGAAGGAAATAACACGATAGCCCACACACTGTAAACGTTAACAAAATAATAAACGTTTTTTCTTTCATTTCCAGAAATAATCGAATGTTATTCATCAGCGTCATCTTTACCAATTTACAAAAATCCCGTACACGCTTAGAAAGCATTATTTCATTGGAAAAAGTTCTTTCTACGCCATAAGTTCAGTGATAGTTCCTATTAATTATGATAGATGGCGCTTTTGTTCAAAAAATGCATGACTCAAAGCAAACTAGTTTCTAACCAGACCTTTGTTTTTGTAATAGACATAAAGTTGAGTTAATCATCATCTCTATTGCGGGGGGCCATACTATTTTAAACCCTGAGCATGCTCTCGGTTTTAAATAGTATCCGGGAACTTGAGCTTGAGAACTTGAGCCTGGGCCACCAATCTCTACTCCCCAATTCACTTTATTTAATTCAATTAATTACGTGAAAACTTATTACCTCCTAAGACGGCTGCAATAGTGATGAATGGTGGCCAGCATCCGAAGGTTATAAGCGCGGGGAAAGCTACTGTACCAACTATAGTACCTAACCGACCACACATAAGGAACGTTGCCATCGCCAATACCCTGAAAACAATATACCAAAAGAGGATAAGCATCACGCAGAAATCCTATTCATTGTAGCGATGTTTAGGTAAATATTAGAAACATTGCACACATTGTTTCTTTTTTCAAATTAAGTCTAAATCTTTTAAGGGCGATTTAAAACGGAGTAGATATAACACTTAGCCGACCTGTGGAAATACGTACGAACCACTATTGATACCGGCGCAAAACTACGGAGGTAATCTAAAATGGTCGTTGATTCAGGAGTCGACAGACATAAGTAAGCACTCAATTATGATTAGTCTACCCGTCAATACCCTCCACTGCAGCTTTCGCGTGGTTACCGGTAACTGTTAAGGAATTCTCTAGAACCGTATCTTACCGTCGAAAAAAAATATGCTGCTCGGTAACGCATCGATTCTTTGTGCGTTATTTCCCTGTCATACGATCCTGCCATCTCCGCCAACAAGCTAAAAGTTCAGTAACCTGAGTGAGGTGGGGAACAGATCGACGGTGACGCTGGAGAGCGCGGCGCCGTAGAGCGAGGTGAAGGCGAGCGCGGAGGTGACCAGCGCCGCGACCCACGCGCCGTCCACGCCCGCCGCCGGCAGCAGCACCACCGCGCCCGCGCTCATCACGCCGCAACAACTCACCACTATCCTCTTGCCGCATCTGTAAGCACAAGCGCACATTATGTTTTATGTAACTGCCGATAGATGGTGCTACTTAATATGATTATTCTTTGTATTAATGAAAGTAGACGTAATTAAACCGAAGTAACCACTTTAAGACTGGGCATAAAAACAAAAGATATTGAAGTACGCCCTCTTGACCTTTATTCCAATTATTGTCCGGCGCTGAGATAGTGACTCAGAGCTTGCAGTGTCAGACACTGCAGGTTTAGTATGATTTCGAATCCTTCTAACTTTACCAAAATATATTTTCAAATTGCAACTCTGTAAAAACAACTTTACTTTTATGCATCACAGGTAGTTTTCCCTGAGAAATGATTTGTGAGTCATAGAACATTAATTTGTGATTGTTCAGACACAAGTACCTACGTATTTACACATTGATTAGCGTTTCTTTACAGAGCTCATTTTTCTGCCATCCGAATATTTGTGCCTGAATCCTATTCAGTTACATAAAATTCTTAAGTGATCTAAATTCTTTATAGTAAGAAAATAAAAAAAGGGTTTTCGTCAGTGGCGAATTATGACTACTTGATGTCTTAAGTTAATTAGTATTGATATTTATAAAACAATACAAACCTATTTAATACGAGATAAATTAACGAAGATCATGAGACACATGGAGTACAAAACTCTCTGATATAAAAAAACTGTTCTGCTAGCAATTTTTGGTTCTGTTTCACCAGAAACATCACAAAAATTGCTAGCACAACGGTTTTTTGATGCCTTAAGCAATATGGTATTTTGCTAATGGGATAATCCAGCACTGACATTCGTACTCACTTGTTTATCAATGCACCGCCGATGCTATAGGTGATCACCGAGCCGGCGCCCACCACGGCGCTCTGTAGATACGTGAGCATGTCCGTGTGGAGAGGGGTGCAGCCCCCGGCTGGTGGGGAGACCACGGGCGCGATGGCTGCGCACAGGCTGCCATTCTTGGAGTCTATCATAGCAGCCAAGTGCGGGTACCACAGACGGATGGTGTTCGATCTGGATATTATAAGACATGAGTAGGAGTAACCGAGATGGAGTTGACTCAAATACCACCGAGTAACCAGCACATGCCAGATAGGAGGAGCTCCCTTGTAGCGGATTGGAGGATAATAAAGTATCTTTCCCTTCAGAGACAGAATTGGTTATCGTACGCTATTATTGCATTGCGTGGTCTCGCTTGTCGGGCAGAGGTCTTCATGTTCTCCTAACCTAACCTAAGAAAGAAACGAAAGACCCAAAAAGTAAATTATGAAAGACCTTACAAATACCAGTGATTCAAACACGTAAATCCAGTTTCGAAGGATCATAAAAAATTTAAATAAGCCACAAACTAATACGATATTAAACTGACAACAAACTATAGTGTGATCTTAAAGAAACGTAACGTCATCTAAGTATTTTAATATAAGGTAAGTAATTAATTAATATTAGGTCCTTACATATGAAATTGGTGTTTGGTATGAGAGGAACAAAAAGTCGAATATTTGTTAATATAATATGTTTATTTTATCAAAGCATTGACCATTTTTATATATGCACTTTTGTCATATGGCAATGAGATATCTCATAGGTAGTTCATTGATCCTCTTACTAAAAAAATCATTCGGACGGGAATCAATAAAATCTTTGAAGGCGATTTGCACTGCCCAATCGGTGTTGAATTTTTTCCCTTGCAAGAAGTTATCCAAATTTAGAAAACAATGGTAATCTGTTGGAGCAAGGTCCGGGGAGTATGGTGGATGTCTTAGACATTCCAATCGAAGCTCTACTAATTTGGTAGCCGTCTGTTGTGCAGTGTGTGGTCTAGCGTTGTCGTGAAGTAGCAGTGGCGTAGAGCGATTGACCAGCCTCGATTGTTTAACAGCTAGTTTTTCTAGCGTGATGCAATTGCTGACAATAGACGTCTGTTATAATCGTCTGTAATGACCGACATCGGCACTATTCCACCAAACGCTTACAAGTAACTTTTATGGGGTCAATTTTCGCTTGGGGCAGGATTTGGTTGGTATGCCAGGATCCAACCATTGTCAGGGTCCAACGATTATCGTAGAGAATCCACTATCATCACAGGTAATGTTACCGGTTGCTTCACTCAATTCGTGAGGTACCCACCTTTCAAGCTTTTTAAACTTTCCAATTTGCTTTAAGTGGATTAAAAATAGTTTTATCACAAACACCGTAGCATGCAGCTAACTCGGACGTGGTTTGCGGTGGATCTGCTTCCACAATAGCCTTTAATTATTCATTATTAACTTAGGTCTCCGGTTGTCCACGGGGCTTGTTCTGCAGGTCGAAATTTCCCGAACGAAAAGTTGAAACCAAAAACGCACTGTGTTTTCTTTTGCGATACAACCGCCATACACATAATGAACCCTTCGAGCCGTTTCCGCAGCACTGGTATTACGGTGGAATTCATACTCGTAAGTAACACGATATTTCAAATTGACCATTTTTATACTGGGTGACGTAAATAGAACAAACAGAAGAGAAAAAAAACAAATGAACGCCACCTAACGAAACACAAATACATGTGTGAATGGCTGCAGGCTGTATAAATTTGAATTTAAAATTCCCAACCAAGGAGAAGAAATTTGTGATTATAGTGGACAGTACGACAATACGCCAATTTTATATGTAAGTACCTTATATCATATCGTCTTACAGTAAAATTATATTCAAAAACACGCACGAAAAAGTTTAAAACAATAAATAAATTTTAGGTAAACGAATAAAATGTCCTTTGGTCATCGCTGTTCTAATATAGCTATCGCTATAAAATGAATTTATTGTTTTAAACTTTTTAGAGTGTGTTTTATTTGTAGTTGGGTTTTAGTTTTTGAACTTTTTTTTTTATTTGGTTAAACTATTTAGTATTGAGTATTTAGTTACAAACTTGTTCTACTAAGCTTACCCAAACATGCACCCCATGTGTATAACGCAGATCAAAACAAGCCACTTGAGATGAGGGGCTCGGAAAAGGGGGGCGAGCTGGGCCACACCACCCTTCAGCGCTGCGAACCCTTGACCTTGCTCCTCAGATTTTTCTTCAACTAGTAGCATTATCTGTACATTTGTACATTAACAATAGGTATTTTCGAGATATATAAAACGACGAGTCACGAGTCAACACAAGAAACGCACTATATCATGGAAATGAAAAATTCTTGAAAAATCCGCTTGGTCCCTGGCACCTTAAGTTGGGATTCGAACTCTGTAGTTGCGAAAAAGTAAAAGATTCGTCTGTCCTGTTAGGTCTTGGTAGCTCAGTGTTAGAGCAGTCGCCCGGATTGCGAAAGATTATGGGTTCGAATCCCATCTCAGGGTGCCAGGGACCAAGTGGATTATTTAATCATTTTTCATTAACAATTATTTTCATTTTTCCAAGTTTAATATCAACGGCAGCCCTTTTACGTCTCCAGTGCAGGGAGTCAGGTCAGGTCCTAATGGATGGTTACGGAGGATGGGACGTCACCCTCTACGCTGGCTCACCCAATACGGATGGGAGAGCATTGACGACTGCAAATGAAGCCGGGAACAATGGCTTAACAAGTCTTCCGAAGCACGGAGTAGTTCGAGATAGTATTTTTTTGGTCACGCATCCCGACCCTTGTGATAGTTGCTTAACAACAACAATCATGGGCTGCGGCGTTTATCCATCATTGAGCTACTATAGCTAGTTAAGCTAAGCTAGCTCAGTTAATTATGTTATAAAAAAATTGATTAATTAATTATTGAGAGATTACCTTCTTTATGAAATAAAGAATAATAATGCATTTGCATTATTTAAGGAATTCGCATTTTATTACATCTTGGACAAAGAAGTTTCCGACTGTATCGTATTTTTAAATAGCATTTTAGTAGTAAGTCTCTTTTTATAAAAGACTCGCTGAATCGTCAACAAATAGTATAGAAAAACTCACAGGATATTCATTCTCCGGTCGACCAGTGTTCATGCTGTAGATCTTCCTGAAGATCTTTAAGGCCTCCTCGTTGCGGCCTCTTGACATTAAAAATTTCGGACTCTCCGGCAGACAGAGGAACGCAAACCCAGTGAGTAGGGGAACAAGAGCCGTTGCCAGCAGGAACAGGTTCCAACTGTGAATCACTGTTATAGAGAAATAGATTAAATAAACATTGGAGCCTCCAATCCGCATTGGGTCAGCGTGGTCATGAACGACTCCTCAACCATCTAAAAGGAACGTAAAAAGGCTAATGAGGCAGGCGTTAGGTAAGACTAACGTAAAAAAAATATATATATATAACACCACGTTGGGCGCCAGTTGTACCCCATATCTGGGTTTTCCTTTGTAGGTAAGACTAACGTTAAAAAAAAAATATATATATATATATATATATATATATATATAAGTAATATTGGTGTAAAAGATTAAACTACCATTGATCCGTGTTCTTGCCGAAAGAACTTTTAACGTACTGACACTTAGAAGGAGCACAATGTGTTTAAAAGAAATAAATTACGAAGAGCCTTTGAAAATTCGAAGTTAGAATAACAAAAATGAAATGATCTTAAAGATCAGAGACAAAAAGTTTGGATGCGGGAACCTAGGAAGAAATTAACGATTACAACAAGCAACCGCACAAAAACACATTCAAACAACTATACACTTAAAAAAGAATACCATTCTATTAAAAACAGCCACGAACTCGACGTTGAACACTGCGCTGTAACAACATAGAGCATCAGCGGAATAAAAAATCTGTTGAATTATTTACAGACAGTAGTTGACAGATTACTATGACAGCACTGCGCTCGACGTCCACAAAGAAACGCATTTTTTGATAATCTTTGATGTAACGGAGGTAGGACCTGATCCTGCCTGTGATGCACAGATAAATCTCACGAATATGATGTTAACATAATTATAAGAGCGATTCAAAATTTCTGAACAAACAGTAGGCTCTTAGTTTGAAGCTATTTCTAGATCAGAATAGCAGTGCTGGAAATAAAGTATAATCATACCGATTTCTTTCCCGTAGATGAAGAAGTGCCAGTCCTGTGTGAGGATCGCCCATGCCAACAGTGGCAGGGTGATGTTGGCCACCGTGTAGAACAGGCTGGTGAGGAGTATGACGCGCGCGCGCAACTCGGTCCGATGCACTTCCGCCAGGTACGAGAGTAGGACAGCGAATGGACCGTTGAATCTAACAAATACGCAGACTTAAAAATAAGAAAGGCAGTTTGAAGTACACAGCTAGTAATAGGATAACTCATAAGTATAATAAGCGTCAATATGAGGCATCATTTACAGCAATAAGAAATTGTTAGTACAAAGGTAAGGTTTTTTTAAAATCTATGAGTTTCGAACTTCACGTGCCTATTTTGAGTTTTAGGCATATTCTTAGATACCACTGATCGATCTCTTTTTATTTTTGCATCTTTTTAAAATATCTATAATAGTTTACGCGTGAATGCGGGTTACACAGATCATAAGAACGGCATGTTCTGACTTACTGTTAATTTTTATAATTACTAAGGAGATGAATACTCTTTAGATCATAGAAAAAAAAACAATGATAATTTCAGCAAAAATATCTTTACAAAAGTAAGATATGAAAAAAGCAATTTTTGGCATAATGATTATTTTGTTTATATATGTATGTATAGATATTTCTAAACAGTAGGGAAAAAAAGGTGTTTGTTATTTTTCCGACTAAAACATATTAAGATTCATCTTCATGAAATAATTTCTGATAAAATAAAATAACTTCTAGAATCACATATTTTATTATAGTTAAATACGAAAATCGAAAATTAAAAATCAAATTAATACTTGTTATATAATTATTAAATAAAACAAAGACAGTTATATAGTTAATAATTATTAATTAAATATAGTCACAGAGAAGCCATTTATCGTCATAATAAATTAAAATATATACTTATACATTTCAATGTTTACCGTGCTGGCTGTGTTTATATTTACGGAGTGTTAGAATATTACAAATCAAATCTCAGATCTCACGAAATTGACTCTCTACCATAACTACAGTAGCTCTTGGGCCTGGTAGAATCTAAAAAAGCAATAATCTTCTTTCAGAAATTTTACCATTTCAGGGCTAAGTTTTGTATGTAAACTAGATTAAATAATGTAATAGTAAAAAAAACAGCAGAGAAATGATAATAAGTTCAAATACAGTTAGCGTATTGAGAGTATGTTCATCAGTAAATCGCGTCTTGCTGAAGTCAAATATCAAATATAATGTTGCATAAAATTGCATGCCAATTCTATTTGTTTTTGCATAATTAACAATAATATGGTATTTGGACTAATTTCTGCAACAGAATTGTTACCATTGAAAAGTGGATATTTTTCTGCAAGATAAATAGCAATGTGCCTGTTGTAAACATTGCACCGTGAGCAACATGGACGGATATCCCTTAATTAGCAGATAAAGTAATAAATATTAAAAAAAATGTCATGTCTCGGCTACCGTATTGTGATAGAAAAATTGCAGCAGAAAATGAAATGTTATGAGTTCGAATTCCGTCACGTGCAAATATGATTGTAGAATTTTCTAAGTGTTCTATATTATAGAAAAATATAGCATTGTGAATACACAATTCATAAAATATAATAGTAGAAATTGTAAGCTTACAAGAATCCGCTAGCGAATCTGGTGAGTAGCAGCATGATGAAGTTCTGGCTTAAGGCAGCAGCCATCTCCAGTAAACCGGAGAATAAGAATCCTATGGCCATGATGCGGCGGCGGCCCAGGGTGTCCGACAGGAAACCCCACACCATGGCCGATGAGATCATACCTGAAATTAATGAAAGTTAATAAACAATATCGATTATAAAATAGTTTTTGTGCCTAGATATGATTACTAATCCTTACTTAAATAATTATCAATAAATACGAAACTAACTTTCATGCTCAAACCCCTGAACTGATATAAACGAAGTTTGCTATGGAGAGAGTACAAGAACGCGGAAAGACATTGGATGGGTTTTATCCCGAAAATTTTCATTTATATGAAATAGAGGTAGAAATTTGCCTGGAGAATCGTTCATTTACGTACCTTAGTTTCTTATACATAGATACTATCTTTTTAAGGTTATGTATGTTCACCGATATTTTCGTCAATTGTTGACCAATTTTCAAAATCCTTTTTTTATTCGACAGGTATTGAATCAAGGTAGTCTCATTTAAATTTTAAAGAAATCGAATTAGTAGTTTTCCTATTGTAATAAAACAAATTACGCTCTTCATCAAATATCACCTAAATATTTAAATCATAGTTTTTTTTCTATTTATGATCTGGTAATGACATGGTTTTTGAGAATGTCATTACTCCCATTAGAGCTGATGAGTTTCTTGCTCGTTCTTCTAACCAGCCAAAAGACTTCCTAAGCGAGTGGTAGGGAAAAAAATGTTGGACGATTCAAAAGTACTTTTTTTTTAATTCTTTTACTTTTAAGGGGTTTTTATTCTTCAGTACATGTCAACCCGATCATACCATACTTAAATCTCAATTCATTTTATTACAATATTTCACTAGGGAATTTTTACAGCATTTCCTACAGTTTATCTTAAATTTATCAGTAATTTACATATTTTTTGTGCAATGATAGACAAACACCCGGTTTGTGAATTGAGAATCTGAAGTTGAGCACGTCTCAGACCGTGCTTAAACCATTTAAGTGCCATTTAAACAGGTTTTTATTACTGATTTATAATTTTTTAATAAACAGTTGATAGGGATTTGATAAAACTAAGACTTTTTGCCACATAAAACGTAAACAAGTTAAGTTATCGAGAATAAATCAGTTGAGATTTTGTGCTTTACTCAATTCAGAAACCGGCCGTTAGGCTCTGCTAAAATACTTTGAATTAATCCAATGTCTAAAAAGTACTTTAGAATAGAGATTAGAGTCTATTTGAATAGAGATTATTTTGACTTAAACTCTTTGCAGCTTTATATATATTCGGTTGTAAAAAAAAAATAACTGCAGTTCAGAATGATATAAATTGCAGATAGATTTGAAATATTTGCTGCTCAACTAGTTATTATAGACAACCGAATGTATTTGTTTGCTCACAAAAATACGTATACTTTGTTGAACGTCTATATATAGGTAACACCCTTTAATGAATAACCCATAGAAAACCTTCGCCCGACTACTATAGCATTTTTTTAATAAGTCGCTTTTGATATAAGTATTAATTATCACTTTTTAAAGTTTGACAAGGTATTTATTCATAATTAAAAAAATAAGGAAGATTGGTAAAATCTTCTTGAAATAAATAGGAATTAACTAGTCTATTGTGGACTAAAACACTATTATTTCTTTGTAAATAAAGTATTGATTTAAGTATTTTTATAAATGTTTACAAAAATATATATTAAAAACACTAAATCATGAACAAATCAAATGTTTACTCAAACAATTAACAAGTCAGAGACTACATCTTGTTTTATTCAACTGATTCTTAAACATACTTGTTGTATCAATATTTGTTACATTTTTTATAAAGCGAAGCTTAACGGGAATTATAATATTAAATAACATAGAACTTCTAATTAAATAATAATAAAAAACATTTATTTCAGAAAAATCACCAGCCCTTTTACGTCCCCACTGCAGGGGCTCAGGCCTTCCTTATGGATGGTTAAGGAGGATGGGCCATGACCCTCCACGCTGGCTCAATGCGGATCGGAGGGTATTAACGACTGCAAATGCAGCCAGGACCAACGGCTTGACGTGTCTTCCGAAGCACTGAGTAGCTCGAGATAATAATTTTTTGGTCACCCATCCCGTGACCGACCCTTGCGAAAGTTGCTTAACGACTACGATCGCGGGCCGCGGCGCTTATCCACTACGCCACCGAGCTATTCAGAAAAATATCTCCATTAATTTTAGTAGTCATAAATTATTTCCAATTGTACATATAATTAGCTTTATATGGTATAATTACTTCAGGTAGCAATTTAAAAACGCTTATTTATATATAATGAGGCGCTAAATCATGAATTTATCATTGATAATGACGAACTCCCATAAAAACTTTAATCGTGGTGTAAATGATAACCTATGTCCTTTTCCAAGGTCAATTCTATATAAGAACTAAATTTCATGTCGTTAGAGTTGGAAATAAGCATTGATAGGAATTATTAATAAGGGTTAAAATCTTAGAATAATATCATCATCATCTACATCATTAGCCGGTTTTATCATTAGTCCACTGCTGAATATAGGCCTCCCCCTTTGAACGCCACGACGGACGAAAGACACACAGACAATGACAGACAGACAGACAATGAAATAGTCCTATTTGACGGTTCTTTTTAAGGTACCGAACCCTATAATAGGTTAACACTCTCTAGCAGTTCTCAAATGATACGCTTAGTAACAAACTGCATTTCATTTCTATTAATATAGATATTATATGGTGAAATGTAAATTTATTTAATGTTTTATGCTTGTTCAATATTTGCATAAATGCTATCAGTTATTTACCATCTCGTAATGCCACAGATTCTATTTTAGCTTCTGTCACGTGAAGAAAACATTGACATAATGATCGAAATATACAGAGTGAAAGGGAAAATAATAACAATGCTATATTTAAGAATAAATTACGTAAAGTCAAAGTTTATTCAATTAAAAGTAATTTTGAATCGTTCAACATTTCTTTGCCTACTAGCCGTTCTTATCATTTACTAACCTGGAGAATAAATTATATTACAAAAAATAAATACTTATTTATCACTAATTTCGTATAGTTTCACCTTTAAATCGATATTAAGAAAATACAGTTTGCAGTTAAATAAAGACGAGAGAGAGTTATTTAATAAATAATTTAAATTAATATTTTAGATAAAGGTAGGAGCAGCCCAAGTCATTGAAAAATGTAATTTACTTATATTGTTATATACCTTAAATATTTTTAAATATAATTTAAATATTGCTATTATTTTAGCATATAAAAATAGTATTAACATATCGAAAGAATAAAAACCTCTTTTCACGACTGACTGTAAATGTCTCTCTATAACATAGATTTTGTTACTAGGTTTATTATACTCTTTGATTTTAGGTATATAACTATACTTTTTGGAATACCATATATTTGTATGTAATTAAAATAAATAAATGACCTCCAAAATTAATAGAAATATATATATATGGTCTTAAATAAATCAAAGTAAATCACATCATACAAGTTAACAGGTAAACTAAATAATGAATCATGTATGTATATATAGGGACACGGACGATGTATTGGTTCCACACGCCGTGTAATTATTTGTTTTAGTAAATAATATCGGGTTAATAGCGCACTTTATTGATTGGTTACTAATTTAAAAAAATATTAAAGTACATGGAAAATATTCTAGTACATTCGAGTATTAAAATATCCAGTAGGTAGAATAATTAGAAACAAAATACATTCTTAAGTTCTAACAATATTACACTTTTAATTTTGTAGTTTTGTGTAATTGTTTTTTTCATTTTTATGCAGTGAAAATTTTCATCACCCTGTGTATCTGACTTTTGACGGCAAATATTTATATAGTGATGTGGAGATACATCCGTAAGAATGAAAATAAACGCCATGTGTAAAGACAGGAGGTTATGCATGAAGACTATCATAGTAAAACAAGCTAATGTAGTAGTGAAACTATAACCTTTATTTATCGTAATCGATGTTGTGAAATGTATAAATTAACTTTTCTATATTGTCTCGTGTCTGGATGTCGTGGTACCTCCGTTGTCTCCGATAATATAGAGTATATTACGGAGGCTTTAGCAACACATGTTCGAATATGAGCTATATATTTTGACATTGTCTAATATTTATTTCTTTCTTTACTTTTAATTCGGTGCAGTTCGGACGGTATATTCCTTTTGAGGATTGAAATGAGATTTCAATATGATAAGTATTTATTTACCTAAACACCATCTCGTCTTGTCATTTATAGTATCTCTGAACAGATCACATACGTATACGATTGCCAGACACTAGCTTTTTGCCAGCGGTTTTGCCCGCGTGGTCTTGAATTATACATAAAAACCATCCTTTTGAATCACCTTATCTATGAAAAAAACCGCATCAAAATCCGTTGCGTAGTTTTAAAGATTTAAGCATACATAGATATATACGGACAGAGAAAGCGACTTTTATTTTATACTATGCAGTGATTAATCATAACCTTCTAAACATCTAAATATAATAAAAATTACAATATTCCAATTATCAGTTTTAAAGTGATTTGTGTAAATCAGTTTTTAGGATGTTTGTTGACTTTTAATCAGTAAGTTTAAATCGTTATCTAGTTACATATAATAAAAATCACGAGATAATATTAATCTATACATATAAAAGTATTAACGTCATGTAAACATTTGCTTTGTGCTGTTCGAGGTATATGGTTTGTTGTCATGTATATTGTGACATGAAGAGTTTGTTAGCGCAATGGTTGACGTCTTGCGGTTAAGACGATTGCGGTTAAGCAACTTTCGCAAAGGCCATTGTTTGGATGGATGACCAATTTATATTAAATATGCGAGCACTGCATTTTAAGTTATAATGGGATATGGAGATGCTTTATGTGCACTATTTGATATACATGTTTCCCAAACGTGGGTTGGAGATTTGATACTGTACTTTTCATTACATTTACAGAAACATTAAGATATCTAAAAGTAATAATAACGGAATTAATACCATTAATCTGTTTTGCTGCTGATTGAAGATATAGATCTTCATGCCGTGTCCCTGGCGGGGTAGGCAGCGAAGACCGAACACCACAATGTACGGTCCTTAATTACATCTTTCGCCTCATCCACTTTCACATATAGTCGCCAGTTTTTATAGCTTCTGACCTTCTATAGACATCACCTTCAAAGAGCACGCAATTGATTTGACCGTGAATGTCGTGGCGTTCCTCGGCTTCTACATCCACTTTCGCATTGTCTATCAGTTTGGTCATTCTTTCATCCGCCATTATTCTAAATGTCCGGGCCAACGGGGCGTGTTTCTGTTGATTTTTACACCGACGCTATCTTTCAAGTCAACTAGCATTATTATCTCTTCATTCCGGACGCGGTCTGCGAGCGTTACTCCGCAAATTCTACGTAACGAACGCATCTCGACTGCGTTTGATCTACTTAAATGTTTTTTCTGACATACCCAACTCTCGCCACCACCAAAGTTAACCAATTTTGTATATAGTTATTGCATTTCTGTCACTAATCAATCAAGTCACCTAGTCATAATAAGACTCTCCTATTATGCGCACATGGAGCTGCATGGAGGAGCACAGACTTCTGAAATATTTAATTTAGTAATTTGCAGTATCTGCGACAAGAAAATTTTGAGTTTGAATATGATGAAAATCGAGACTTTTTGTTGCAATATTTCTTATCAATTGGTATGAATCAGAGGTGTGCTGTGATAATGATAAAATTAACGTTTTTATGCGAGCACATTAGTTAATAAAGCAGTCTGTACTTTAAACTTACGAGCAGCATATTGATACTCTATTTCGCACTGGTCAGAAGAATACTTGAATACTGTTCGATAGTATGGTCCCCATTTTTAGCATCCATATTGACAGAATAGAGGCAGTCCAAAAACGGTTTCTTCGATACTTGAATGCTAAATTCGGTTTGAGACGTAGATTGGATACATATCAGGCCAGACTTGATCATTTCAAAGTGAGCACCCTTCAGTCAAGACGAGATGTAGCGAACTTATCGACGCTTTACAAAATTATTAACTCCGTATGGGACACTGAAGATCTGTTAAGCCATTTTCCATTTAAAGTGGGTGGTAGCAAATGGGTGCAAAAACTTTTCTCTCTACCAATATGCAATAATAATGTAACATACAATGACCCTATTTTCAGAATGTGTAGAGCTTATAATAATTTGTGTAACGATTTGGATATACTTTCACTCTCCTATCATTCCTACATAAGAACATGCAAGTCTAAATTATGATGTTTCTTAATGTAATAACTGTTGTAATAATTATTTTGATTATATTTTGTTTTTCTAAACTCTCAATAATTATGCTAAATTTTTAATTTAATTTTCTATTATCATTGAACTTGTTTATTTTTAAGTTTATTTAATATTCATTCATTGTCATATTTACTGATAATACATGTACTATTTAAGTGTTATGTCCAGCAGTTATAGGAAGGCAAATAAACAATAAATAAATTAATTATGCCTAATTGTAAGCATGTGATCTTGATTTGTTTTCTGTTGCTGTACCAAAATAAAATAAAATAAAAATAAACTTCTGCTTAGGGAAATTCTTAAAGCGGGACGCTAGATTATTGTAACATGCTATTATCGTGGCATGTTTCTGCGTCTGTTATATTATATTTGAAGAGTAACCTTGTCTGCGGGGCAGTTACTATTTACCTTAATTTTTCACTTTTTGAATAAACTTCCTTTATTAATAAATTTATATCTCGTATAGCTCTTCTGAATTACACATTCATTACGTTCTCAACAGATCTTCCAAGAAAAGAACGCTAATCCAGCACAGTTCTTACAATAATCATCATAGGCATCAAGAAGTTATTTACCATTTGAGAACCTTTCTTTATTTTTTCATAATATTATTCTACAACTTGGTCGTATACTAAATCCTTATTTCCCGTACGCGGCTTCTATTTGCTACTGGCAACATCTGCCCGAATGCTTGTTGATATGACAATCGTTACAGAAATATAACATATCGTGTATTTAGCTCAATGTAATGCGCTTAGAAGGACAGTTAAAGAACGTAATCCAGTGTAATTAATTTCTGTATACTTTCTGGTTCTTATAATAAAAAATAAACGTAATAAATGAGTGTATTAGCGCCCGCTAATGGCTTTCTAATTAGTCCGCAGTACTAATTGTTATAGACTTTATAACTAATATATAAATGTGAGTCACGAAAGAGAATTGAAATCAAATATTTACCAGATACTTTATCAACAATATACTTCAGTACTGAATTGTCAAAAATACTAATCCGACATGTAGTTTTATAAAATATTCATGTAAATTGAATGTAAAATTATCGACATGTGAAGTTATAATTACTAATAGGCATGTTATCTGGCTTCTGAATGTTGGATTACGATAAATGTTTCATATTTTATCTTAATGCCAAGGAAGTATATAGATTGCGATGAGTTTTGTCGTACTACTAAGACTCAACGAGCTAATTAACATGGTTTTTTGACAAGGATGTAATATAAGGGTAATTTTTAAATCAGTGCATAAATCAATTCCTATGTTTAAGTATCGTTTATATTCATATTTAAACATTAATACTATAATATTAGTCAATCATTAATACTATAATAGTAAGTATACGCCTAAAATATTACTTTTAGAGCTTCCATTAGTTATATTTCTATCTGTTATTTCTATTTGATATTTATCCTCAATTAAAAAAACAATAATAAATCTTTCGCGGTATCAAATTAAACTGACTTGACGTAAAAAAATAAATTATAGACACAGTGTGAGTTTGTTTTAACTGAATCTAGAAGAAACATAATTGTTGTCAAAATTGTATTATAGTTCTAATATTACTAAAAATCCGTATTCGAAACTACTGGATAATCCGGAAAAAATCATATACGTTACCGTAACTGAAACCGAAATAACAAATCATAAATATCCGTATCCGTAACCGGAACCGAAATAATATATCTATTACATCCCTAATTACAATATGCTTACTTTAAGAATTCAAATTAATTTATTCAACACAGATATAGGACATAGTAGAATAGAAACAAACATACATAAGAAAGCTTAAAATAAGAATAAAAAATAGTGTCCCATGCCTTTGTCAAAAAGGCATCTAGTTCAGAATTTGTCAGTGACGCTGACGCTGACTTTCGATTGGAACCTTCCATCCTTGGCACATACGGATGCCACACAGTACAGACCAAGCACGCACGCAAATAACACAAAATGTAGGTAGGAAGATAGTCCGCGAATCAGCTGGTTAGATAACAATCCTGCGCTAAGAGATGACGGTAAATTGATTATGGACATAAATAATTTAAAGTTTTTCTTAATTTAAAATATTTACCTCCATAAGTGATGGCGTTAACTGTGCCCATGTCAAGGAGGCTGAGTTCCATGTCACACTGGGCACTCGTGAAGATGTACGACACCGAGCTGGTGACGGAGACGGCACTCCAGAACGCTGGCAGAGAGCACAGCATCAACAGGATATTGAAGCGACCGTAGCTGGTTGCCGCGATAGCTGTCTCGAAATCAGCAGCGGTCTCTGTTACTGAAAACAATCATTGAAGAAGTGACAATGAAGAATAAAGAAATCTATGATATTAAAGAACAATACTTATTCCAATAACAATAGTACACATAGTAGCATTGTAAAATAAAACACACAACTTTCGCAAAAACAGACGACATTGATACAAAATGAGATAGATGTTCAGTGTTGGTGTAAAAAAGAACAGAGGCATGTTCCGATAGTTGGCAAATGTGGTTAGAAAACAGAACAAACAAATAATGACACTGATTTAATGGTTAAGTACAAGTGTGCAGACACTAGGATGAGCTATACACAACTCTTACGATCAAATTGATCACGCGTTATCAGAGAATACAGCAAGGACTCTGAATGTCAAAGAAATGAAATTTGTATGTATGAAAACATGTTGCGTTGTGGTTTTCTATCTGGTATGAATATACAGCTTTAAAGCTACAATCACTAAATAAATACATAGTTTTATATGTTCGGACATTAGTTCAGACAAAATCCTAAACAGAATCTAGTGCAATATCACAATTAAACCGTTAAGGGCAGAAGGCATACTCATTTTTAACTTTAAAAATTAATAGGTTCCTTATTTAATTAAAACAAAACCTTTCGCTTTTTAAGTGTCTTTAAAAACTATTTTAATTTCCAAGATCTCTAAACTTCGCAATTTTATCGCATATAGCTTGAAAGAACTTATCGTAAAAGAGAATAACACTGGTTGATATTGATTTTTAGAGATTTTGGATTACATAACCCGATTTTCCCATAATTTGTGTCTCTTTCATTCTCAATGTGCATAATTGTAAGCTTTCTACGTGTTTCACCAAGTTTTCATTGTGTCTTCACTATTCTAGATTTTATTAGTCTGACATTGGACTGATGTAAATTTTCTCTATTTTTATAAATAGTTTATATTTTAGCCGTTAAAGCCACATGAGGCTGGTGATAAAATTTATAATTTATGTTCCTAACAGTGCCAAGCTTTCACTGATCGTGAAATTTTATTGTTCTTCGAGACGCAAGTATTGAGTAATGAATCTGAATATTAATATGCTATTATTTAGTCATTAAAGATGACCTTAGGATTTTAATGAGACTGACATATTGATACTTAGTTAATTAAACTTTATTTTAACTTTTTTTCTCAATACGACAGACGTTTGCAAAGTATACATAAGGGGCATATTTCATGATCATGTAAGGAATAATGAGAGATAATACGAGCTGTTTTACTTATATAGGGAACTGAGTGGTAAAAGGAATGAATCGGTTATAGCATGACATCAGAGCTGACGGGTGTTACCAAAAATTTTGGTTTCGATTTGATGGTGATCGATTTGATTTCTATTATTTTTATATTTTTGTGTGGTATTGTTTATTGAAAGTTTAGTTTTGCTTATTCTTTTAGTGTTGGTTGTGTTACGAGAATATGTTAGTTAATCTTTTGACATGTCTCTTCTTAATTTTCCTATTAATACAGACCGCAGTGCTTAATACCTATTATATTTAAAGTTCATTGGCTTGGTCTCCAACCAGGTAGACCGATTATCTGATAAAGGTTACGATAAGCCACTGCATGCGGACAGTGCAGGATCGATCGTAATTGGGATTCATGGGAGAGGTTACGATAAGCCACTGCATGCGGACAGTGCAGGATCGATCGTGATTGGGATCCATGGGAGAGGCCTATGCCCAGCACTTGGCGTTTTATTCATTTACTTCTTCTTTATTATTTTATAAACAAGAATATTATTAAACGTAAACCAAACTATTAAATGACAACCTTATTGACAAAATCTATTATCATTTCTAATTATCTGTTTAAAATTTTACTGTTTGATTCGGACAGGGAATTATCATAGTAGCACGCAGTCAAAACAAGATACGTACTAGCCGACACAAACAAAAGACGTAAGCGCATAAAGAAATCCCGTCTGCCAATAATGTGCGCGAGAGTGACATTCGTGATTCCAACGTGAACCAAGCAGTTTTTAATATTTGGCCAGAGTCCAGGAGTTGGGCCTCGCGGCGTCTTGTTTTGAACCAAGATAATATTATTGGCACATTTTTACCTCCTTGGCAAACCGATTTCGGCAAACATAAGGAATTCGATATTTTAACCTTAAGATTGTTTGTGTGACTTCGGATGGCCTATTAAAAATATTTTGAAGTTTCTTTATTCTGTTGATCAATTTACAGATGCATAAAAATAGAGACAACCAAATTGTTTTATGTCGTGCCAACTAGAATTAAATATGGGTGAACTGAAAAAAGATAAACAACCTTAGGAAAAGTAGAGAGAAATGATTGCTATAAGACAATTTTGATGAAAGAGAATGGCGTCTTTAAACATGGAAAGAAGTAGAGGAATAGAGCTCATTCGTGGATAACAAAAGAAAAAAAGAGGCATTTTAAGATATGATGAAAATACAAAAAAAGGGGCAGTCGATTTTATTTGTTTTAACGATCACAAAATAAGTCTATCACAGTTATAGACTGTCTATACATATATAAAAGGAGATGTCCCGATATACTGACTGAAAGACAACGCACAGCCCACACCAGTGGTCGTAGAGACTTGAAATTTGGAGGGGACATTTGTGTTATTGCTGTAAATGCAAATGCTGCTCAAAATCACTATACCATGTGTAAGTGTAGCAGCGAGTATAGTATTCGCCACGAGCTCTATCGTGGCAAAAATGTTCAAGAGTTTTCTGTCAGTTCATAATTGAGGGGCGGCATAATGTGAAGTATGCATTAAAATAATTATTATTACCATTAATTGCCTAGGTTGCACAATATATGAAACGCGGCGATTCAGCAGGTCACAGAAGTTGGTGTGAAAATTATTTCCGAAAGAGTTTCGTGTTTGACAAATGTATGAAATATTTATATACTTATATTTGTCTAGTGGAACAAATACATTAAGCCATCGCTAGAAGTTTGTTTCAGACTTCTGTGACCAGATATTCTAGCTACTGACACTGGGTACTGAGTGATGTATACTCTCGTACTTCCATATTGAAGTATTTAATCGTTAGAAAACTTTTGCATATTTTTGTCACGAGCACTTCGTCTATTATGGCGAAAAAATGGTGACATTCTAAAACAACGGCTTGAAATGTACAACAATTAATAAACATGTATCGAGAGATGAATAATGAGGAAGCAAAAGACTGAAGCTAGAGGAGGACATTAGACTGCACCTTAAAAAACAAACGTGATAGGTAAAACAACACAAACAATGTTCAAAACAACATGACTCAAAAGGAAAACTAGCAATGCGAACTATATCGGGCGTTGTTCACGATATAATCCTGATAGCATACCTTGCGCTAGCTTCTCTAAATTCGTCGATGACAAGCCGGTTACTTTGAATAGATGATCATGCGGTATCTCCTCCTTCGTCGCTGGTACTTCAGCGTCATTCCCCGTCACCACCATGTTGTCAAATACCACAAAAACAACAAACGATCTCTTGAAACTAGTTGAAGAATCTATACTACTATGATACTATGACCCCTACCCGATTGTTACAACTAGATAAAATGATGTAACTGGCTATTTGCATTCTCATAAAGTACCAACCACTAGTGAGATAAAAACAGGTGATGCCTTTGTTTTATACGAGCCTGCGGTAGCCGTATCTTCAATATGTTTGCGTTGGAATCTAGAGGCTTTGTGTAGCAAACAGTTTTCAGTATTCCTCCATTTGCAGCGGCAGACAAACATGTTCGTTTTAATATAGTAAATATGTAAACTGTTACGCCTTGTTATAGAATAGTGTTTATCATTTATTATATTTTTAGAAAAGTGATTGGAAAATTTCCGAATCAAATTGTTGACTATCTAGTATTTCTGAAACAAGTTTGTCAATAATAATAAATCCAACAAACTGAAACTATAGCATATTAAAATAAACAACTGAATCAGATAATGGATTCCTCAAAGTTAAATATTTGCACTGTAAATATAAAATTCTTTAAATAAGAAATAAATAAATTAAACTCTAATTTATTATTACTTAAGTTGTAATCAATTTCGTAAATTTGACGTTTTGCTTCTAAACTAATGTGCTTCAGTATGTGTACATACAATATTTTACGCAAGTTGTCGCTCAGCTTCAACATAAAATCGAATTTTGCACAAATACAAACACAATACAATAATATTGACAATCTTAATATTAGCACAGAGAGCAGTAACCTCTTTTCTTAGAAACTTTCATCATTGAGCCGACCTGATCCAATATTAACATATTTTATCGGTCTCTCGTTTTTTGACCTATTTCGACCTCAGGTTTAAGGACAAGACAATTGTCAGTCAAAAGACAATTAACGTCGCGACATTTTCCGCTATCAAATGTTATTGTTACAATGTTACTATTATTACGTAGTTTACATAAATTATCTAATTGTAATTATGAGTTGTTTTATAAACATTTAATATTTAATATACGTACAAGGGTCGTATCTTTTGTTTAGTTATGGTTTACTTTATATGATGGTAAATTTTCTTTCAATATACTTGGACTTTACAAAAAACGTAGTAAGTTTATAAATATTATCCTATCCTTATAAGATTCTTATAAGTTTTCTTACTAAATACCTATCTACGTTAAATCTTTGCTTCTTTATTATTTTTAAATAGCATATGCGTGTTATTTAAGTTTAGTTAAGTATTTTGTAATTAAAAGCTGCGTATAAAACTAAAGATAAAATGTGATGTCACCAATCAATGGTCTGTCAATGAGGCAAATAGCGTAAAGCGTAAAATAAATTGAAAAACCATTTAAAGTTGTTTTCTCTTCATAGATGAAGGTGAATCACCCTATATCTTAGTACACTTCCTGGCTGTTGTGTACAATAAGACACTTGGATATGTTAAAGTTTTAATTAGGCATGTTTTGCACTTAAAGCGCAATATTATTATAGTATCTAATCAACTTTGTATTTGGTCTCGAATCGACTTCAAAATAGTCAATTGTAAAGCGATTTTCATAATAGTAGTGTATTCGATAGCTTGACAGATCGAGGTAATCAAATTAAAATTTTGTCGAAATCGAATAAGTAGTGTTCCATTTATAACAAAACAAAATATGCTTTTCAACAGATATCACCTAAATATGAATAAGATGACATGGCCTATTCCAGATAAAAAACAAGATGGCGTATTAAGGATTTATTCCAAATATGAAAAGAAGTTATATATATAAATTAGTCCAATAGTTTCGGGGCTTATCCGATGCAAACAAACAAGCAATTAATTCTTTCCTCTTTAAAGTATGAATAAAGATTATCGCAAAAAAATTTTTCGAGCAAATAAACAAAATCTCCTTTTCTAAGACTTTCACTATGTTGAATATTTTTCTTAGATAGATATTTAATATTTTTTGTGTAACCTATATTATAAAAAAATATCATTTGAAAGCATGAAATAAAAACTTTTATTTGATTTAAAGTCACTAGAACCGACTTCGAATTTTAAAGATTATATAGGTTCTCCTTTTTTTAAAGTTTTCATTAGTTTTAATATTTTGCCTTAATTAAAAAGTAGTCGAGCTTTTCTGAACAATTTTTTGATAACAATAAATTGCATTTTTATTTATTTGTTTTATGAAAATATTTTGTGTATCGAAATATCCTCATTTATGTAAAGGCATGATAATTATATCTTTTTGAACTCTTATGAAATTTGAAAAACAAAGTTTATTGTTTATTTTATCGAATTGGTAAGTACTATGTTGGTAGGTAGAAATAACAATGATTATATAAAAGTTATTTTTTCTTTCTCTTTCTTTTTATCTTTCTCCTAATTACATACTACAAATGTAATCAAAGTTATGCAATTAACGTGCAATTATACCATGATAGTGGAACGTTGACATGTACCTTTATAACGTGACCTTGTTTCTCAAACTTTTTATATCAGAGTTTCAAGAGCAACACGCATAGATATGTGGAGTTCAGTGGCAAAGTCGTTTATTATTATACCTACAAGTTTGCTTTGATTTTTAAATAGATAATCAGAGACTAGATCACACACAAACTGTTTTAATTGTTAAAATGTTGCATATTTTAACTGCTTTCACTGTTTATTGTATTTTTTTAAATATGTTATTTCATGAGTTATAATGAGTTTAAAAATGAAGTATTTTACTGTATCAAACTGTGGTGTAGTTCATTATGGTTATAATGAAATTTTATGGTTGTAAAAAATTGGTATACCAATACTTTTTATAGCTTTGACTTTAACTTTGAGTTCCTTAATTATTCCTAATAGAAGTGAATTGTCAATAAGTGCAGGATATTCATGAGCGCTTCACGAATTTGATTGACTAATAACCAGTGGTCGGAATTAGGTAGAGTTATTCATGTACTTACACTGATTTGTAGTTTTGTAAAAGTTATTTACTTTTACACAATTTAAACTACTGCATGCACGACGTTGCCAAACTTACATCAATGAAAGAAAGAAATAAAGAAATTCCGGGAAGGTCCATATTAATATCAACATTTCAATGCAAGTACATAAATAACTCTACCTTATTCCGACCTCTGCTAATAACGGAGCGAACCAAATTTTCCATAAAGAATAATTTTAATATTCTATAATAAAAAAATATGAATTTACAGAACCACGAACGAATTTTCCTCTGGTTCTCATTAAAAATGCAATGGTTCTTGTATAGAATCCAATAAGGTTTTGTGTAAATTAACGTAATTATAACGACGACTATAAGAGAAGTAAAAAACAACCTTCTGCCTCAAACGGTATAGAAATTGAGATGAGTTGCTAATTCGATAAACTTAAAAACATACGCATAATTTAAACAAAAATTGTAGACGAATAATTAGTAACGTTCCTCTTTCGCATTTCTACTGCATATGATAACGTTAGCTCTTTTTTGCCTAATCTTAATAAATTATTCGCCTCGCAGTTGAATTTAAAACTTCGGCTTCCAAAACTCTTTCGTGCTGTGGGCTAGATTGGGTTGGGTAAGGATAATTGAAGTTGACGTGTTCTCTGAAGCTCTGTGTTACACGTATTTTGATCTGACTTTTTTATGGGAGCCGGAGAGTTTCTGAACCTTCTTATTAGCGTTTTTATTAGAGGTCGATTGTATTGTTAGTAACGTCTTTTAGGCAGAGCGTATTTAAAAAAATATATGTATGTTAAGAATGTTGTATCAACCTATAATCGATATATTTATATATATATATATATATATAAATTAAACCTAATTGTAATTACTGAAGTATGTTGTACGAAATATATATGCTGTTGGCGTGGACAATATTATATAAATAATATTGTCCACACCAACAGCATATATATAGTTTTATAACTCATTTCATTATTATTACTTATTTTTCTAGCGAAAGATGATCTGATTTAAAGTACTATCTAAACATAATATGATAAATGCTTCAAAAAATCCACCGGTCTCAGGTGGGACGCCAACCCGCGACGTCTATCCGGGCGACTGCTTAAACCGTGACCTAACACTTTATTCAAATGTAATAAGATCTTTTGATAAGCCTATGTAAGAAGTTTGACACATTTATAAAATATACACAATTTGAACCTTGTACTTTTCTTATAGCTTCTCCATACGCACATTGGACTTTGTCACGATAGAGTTCACTGAGGGTTCCCAATTTTGTAGCGTGGTGTAATAAAAAAAATGGATTACTATATTGATAATAATGGCTTAGTAAGGTGTTTTTATAGTTTCTTCCCATCAATCAATTACTGAACATCAAATCGGTAGGTTATGTTTACTCAATTCATACACACTATAAATATGTATTTAGCTAAATCGCTTATAGTTGAAAGAAAAAGGAAAAATGCTATTCGGGATTTCAAAGTGTTAGAACAGACGGGGTCTTTAATGTAATTGATAAGAGTTTTTTTATAAATCTGAGAAACATAATCAATTATTTAAGAAGAAGAAAAGCAATAAGTCGAGACTTTGTTGTTTCGCGATAACTTTTTTTATGTGATTTGATTTTAATAAAAAAACAGCATTCTTTTCTTTAAAAAAAATAGCCTTTCCGAAAAAAAAATTGTAAAGAGTCAAGAAACGTCAATTAAAATTCTCAAATGTAAAGAACAATCTTGTATTTATTAATCCTCTTTCTGGTTATTCCCTTCGTTTCACTTATACACATTTTGCCTGTTATAAAATAATATAATAAATAAATTCCAGTCTGTATGTAGCTAATTGTTGTGTGACAACCCTGACATAACTAAAAGGAGAGTAGCGTGTGAAGCCACACAAACGCTGATTGTATCAGGACATCACGCCGGCTACACGTGCCCAGGAACAATGTACACTTAATATGTACACAAATTTATATATTATACAACTATCTTTCCGCATGCGGCTTCACCCGCGGGGTCCTTAGGAAACTGTTTATTTGAATATTGATATCATTACA